TTCCAAACCACAATATATCCATTGCGTACACTGGAACATCCCAGGGGGATATTTATTCAATGTGTCGAAAACCAAACTCACTTTCCTGATAATCTGCCTAGCCCTTACATATACCAATTAAAAAACAAAACAAAAATTCCAAAAAATCTTTTCTTTAGACTTTCTCTCACTGGCTCTTCCCCTCGAGTCTGTGACTACATAAATTATGCTTCCTTTCCAATCTTTTTTTTTTTGGCTGAGGAAGACCAGCCCTGAGCTAACATCTATTGCCAATCCTTCTCCTTTTTTTTTTTCCCTTCCCTTTTTCTCCCCAAAGCCCCAGTAGATAGTTTTACATCATAGTTGCACATCTTTCTAGTTGCTGTATGTGGGACGCGGCCTAAGCATGGCCTGACAAGCTGTGCATCGCTGTGCGCCCGGGATCCGAACCCAGGCCGCGCCAGCAGCAGAGCGCGCGCACTCAACTGCCAAGCCATGGGGCCGGCCCCGCTTCCTCTCCAGTCTTAATCCAAATCCTCCATACACTCATTTGATCAAGATGATCTATATTTTTCAGTAAAGTCTACTTTTAGCACTTTTATGACATTTCTGTGTTATTATCCCATGCTAAAATACATTCTTACCTCTCCAATGTCATTTCTAACTCTGGTTAAAAGCATTTCATCTTCTCCTTCCTTCTCTAAATTCCTTCTCTTCCTTCCTCTTCATCTCTAAATTTCTGTCTTTCTTCCTCCATTCTCTCTTTCTTTCTCCAAGACTAACTCTTCATTTGAATCCTTGACGCTATTCCTCTTTTCTCATCTGCAGAGACCTGATTTATGAGAACAGGAGTCTTGTCTGTCTCACCCCCAGCTTCTGGAACAGTGAGTGCCTAGCACATGGTAGATATTAGAAAACATGTATTGACTGCTTTATTAATGAATTATCCTTTCTTTCTTTTGCCTTTTCAGTTTCCCTCCTTTCCCTCTACATTGGGTCCTTCCATAAGTCTACCAATATGTTTAAGTCTTTTTTCAAGGGATAAAAAAATAAATAAAAAGATATCCATACAAACTTTCTCTCGACTCTATCTTTCCAAGCTACTGGCTATGTCTTTCTGCCTACCACCGAGCTTCTTCTAAGGCACATCTTCACCACTTAATCTTCAGTAACACTTCAAAGTAAACCACATTTATGGTTTACTTCCAAAAGTGCCCTCTGAAAATCAACACTGACTTCCCAGACCTTTTTCTCATCCCTCATCCTCCTTGCTGCTCTTTCTACATCATTTAACACAAAGGAACACCCAGTGCTTCTTAGGACTCTTCTCCAGGAGGCCTTTCTTGATTCGCTTCAAGATAGGTTATATGTTCCTTTATTTTGTGCAATCATAGCACTTACTATGCTGTTTGTAACTGACTACTTATTTGTCAGTATCCTGGACTAGACTAAAAATTTCTTGCAGACAGGCGTTATGTCTTCTTAATCCATGTATTCCCACTGTCTGGCACTATGACTGTTCAATAAATATTTGTTGAATAAATGAATGAATATTGTCATCAGATCAACACCTAAGAGTTCTAAGAATACTGGAGAATGGGAGTGTTGGTTAAAATAAGGATGACAAGTAACATTCTAAGGGAAAAGGGCAAGTAAAATTAGTATGAGGGGCTATGGACAATCAGAAAGCAGCATAAAGATATGAATGAGTTACTTCACATATTTACTCATTCATTCATTTGGTATTTACTGTAGGCAAGGCAATTAGAGGAGAAACAGAAAGATAATCAAGATATTGTACCAATCCTCATGGGTCTGTCTTATAATCAAGGGCTGAGGGTCTGGGGGTAGTTAAGAAATGGTAGGAAATAGGAGTAAGATACTTTGCCACTAAATAGCAATTCTGAATCTAATACTGAAATATCAGGACAAGTTTGGAAGACCACAAATCAGCTTCCTCTGGTCCACTCACCTTTGCAATCTAGGTCTACCAGCAGCAGCTCTAAAACTTTAATGTATATAAGGAACACCTGGAGATCTTGTTAAAGATGCAGAGAAATCTCCCAGAAATCCTGATTCTCTGGGTCCAGTTACCTACATTTTTAATAAGCATCCCAGGGGATTATGATGCTTTTGGTCTACAGATTATACTACTGTAACGTCCTTAGTCATTCATATTGTCATAATTTTGTCATATCCGAGTTCCACTTATAATATTATCTTCTTAATAATTTCTTTAAATTAAAACTATATATATAGGGCCGGCCCCGTGGCTTAGCGGTTAAGTGCGCGCGCTCCGCTGCTGGCAGCCCGGGTTCGGATCCCGGGCGCACACAGACGCACCGCTTCTTCGGCCATGCTAGGGCCGCGTCCCACATACAGCAACTAGAAGGCTGTGCAACTATGACATACAACTATCTACTGGAGCTTTGGGGGGAAAATAAATAAAATCTTTAAAAAAAAAAAAAAACTATATATATAAATGTCTTATATATATACATATCTATACACATCTTAGTCTTATCCTAAGCAAGAGGTTTGATGACTTATATTTTTTATAACACACATGAAATAAATACATAAACATTAAAAAGTCTGTCCCTATACATCAGTGGATGGGAAACAGTTTGAGAAGCACTGCTCAAGAGTTTATGATCTGCAAACACCATATCCTGCACACAGTCTGATGATATAAATTATAGCAAAAAGTTCCACGGAAGTGAAGTTCAACAGAATTGTGCTTCAAAAGAGCTCATGTATATATTCTGGAATCTTTTATGGATTATAAAATAGTCTATAAATGTTTTTAAAATTAATGTTCTAATTATTACAAAACAACTTACTATAAAAACCTCTCCTCATATTGACTTTTCATTTTAAAAAGTGCTTTCTTTTTAATTCTAGTACTTAACTCTCAGAATATTCTTGAGCTGACATCTGAACCAACTCCCACCGGCTAAGGCATCAAACATAAAAGCAGCAGTCGGAACAAGATGAAGATAGATCTGTGCTTTGGACCCATAATCAAATGCAATTTTAAATAAAATAGATGAGTATTTTATTCAGTCTGATAATTGAGTTCAAAGGTATAAACTCGATAGCTCTCTTTCTTTTCCTTCAACCTCAGAGTAATTTATAATAATAGGCAAAATAATATGGCAAAAATACCAGAGGAATAATTGTATCTCAGAAAGAGATATTCCTTAAAGGCCTTGGTAACTCATAACCACAAACAGAAAAGAAAGTTGAAATAGAAAACCTTCACCAAATGAAAGATTGTGCTGATATTAAGCCTTTAAAAACAATGTTCTGCTCTAAATCACGTTTTTGCATAATAGCTAAGAAAATCAATCTCTATCTAACTACCTGAGTGGATTTTTTTGGACACCACGTTGTCACTGTGTCACAAGCCAGTTCTATATGTTTAATTTCTAGTCATGTGGAACAAAAACATAGATGAATGATTATGATCCTTGATCGCTACATCACTTAAGTCAATTGGAAATTTATCTTATTACTTACTGATTTATAAAGCACTTTATCCTGTTTGAATGAGAGGATTATTGCAATAGTCTCCTAACTAGCCTCTCTGCTTCAGCCCCTGTTCTCTACAGTCTATTCTCCACACAGCAGCCAGAGAAACTCTGTTAAAAATATGTCACTCTTATGCTCAAGATCATCCAGTCCCCATCTCAGAGTAAAAGTCAAAGTCTTTTAAACAGCCCACAAGACTCCCAATACGCAATCACCCTGTCCTTCAGCTCATACCACTCTCCCTTTGCTCACACCACACCAATTACAATAGCTTCTTTGCTGTTGCTTGAACACACTAGGGAAATTCCAGACCCAGGGCCTTTGCACTTGCTGTTCTTTTTGCTGAGACTGCTCTTCCTACACATATCCATATGGCTCTGCTCTATCACTTCCTTTGGGTCTTCGCTCAAACATCATCTTCCAGGTAAGCCCTCTTACATATATAGTAGCTACCTCCCCACTCCCATACATATTTCTGAACCACTTTTCCGGCTTTGTTTCTCTCCATAGCACTTACCATTTGACATTCTATACCTTTTTTTGTTTGTTTATCATTTGTTTACCTTAGAGGAGTCTGAACTCCTGAGTGAAGACTCTTTTTTGCTTTGTTCACTGTTGTATCCCAGTGCCAAGAACAGTGCCTAGCACACAGTAGATGTTCAATAAATATTTGCTTAATGAACAAACAGTATTACTTAAACTTGGGGACTTTCAGCCTTAACCCTATTAAGAGCTGGAAATAAGAGCTGGCCAATACCCATCAAATTTCAAGATGGTTATTTGGCGCCTGTGAATTTACATGCATTATCTTTTGTCTGGTACATGGTTCCCTCTTATTTTTCTTAGATAGTAAGGCAGCAGGAAAATTCCTAACTAGCGTGCAACGAAGAAGCAAACTAATCATGTATAAAACTGATTGTGGGTGATTTGATTCTTATCCATAAGCCAACAGAGAAAATGCCTTTTGAATTTATACAGTTTCTCCTCTTAACCTAAAGAAAATAAGCTGTGTGTCTGTTGCCTTTTGTAGGATGGGAAGGGGGGCCGAGAGAGACGCGAAGGCCCCGCACACCTTCCTCAAGAACGTCAACTCTAGTGCAGTCCAACTTACTTTTTTGGGGGGTGGGCATGGTTCGTGGTCTCTGCCAGGGGGGGTTTCTTTCTCACCCTTTGAGTTGCCTATTGTGCTGTGTCTTGCGAATGAGGGAAGGTGGGAGAGGAGCGGGGAACGAAGGGATGCTGAGCGCGGCTTCAAGTGCCTCCCCACACAAAGTCGGGGAGGCGAGGGCTCCGCGCCGGTGTCTGGGGCGAGCGGGCGCCGGAGCCGCGCGCCCCCCACCGCAGCCTCGGCCCCGGGGCGCAGGCGGGACGCGGGCTGCGCGGAGTTAGGCCCGGACAGAGCCCCGTGGCCTCCCGGCGGCCGGGCACGCGGCCCCCGCGCACCCCACTCCGCCCGATCCCCTCAATCCGGCGCCCTTCGCCGTTACCTCGAACTCTCTTCAGCGCAATGGGATCCTTCTCCTGTTCTGCTGACATTACAGACCGCAAAGCATGACTCCCCCCCAGGCCGCGGGAATTCAGCGTCTTTGATGCTGCGGCGGCGGCTCCTCCTCCTCGCGGGGCCGCTGCGGCTGCGAGGCGAGGCTCCGAGCCGAGGCGCGGCCGAGGGCGGCGGGGACGCGGGCCGACTTTGCAAAGTTTGGGAGGAGGACGAGGCCTCGGGCCGGCCGGGCCGCGTGCGGG